GCTTATAATTTACCCAGCTCACCGAGAACTGCCTACCTAAGAAATATTGCTGAAGTTTTGTCTGTGAGGGTGCAGACATTTCAACTTACTTTCATTAATGTTTCAGGGTTGTCTGAAAATTTGGTGCAAAACCATAAACATTTGCCAGTTTTTAAAGTTTAAAACTAAACATCTAAATTCTGCTTAGCTATGATTCAAAAAGAATATACCATCCTGAAAATAATGATTATTTCAGGTCCCAGTAAAGAATGAAGAAGATGCCAAAATACTTCAAAGAAGTTGAGGCTTTTCAAGTGTGAAAGAAATGCAGTGGACTTCTAGGGAGGGAAATCCTTTTCAAATTTTCTGATTTACTTTCATTTTCTTGGAAATTGGTACCTCCCCCCCTACCCCGTAACTATTAAACTCCAAATTCTAAAAGATCTGAAATTGCTAATAAAATGCTTCAAGTGGCACAATACATTTTTTAGAAAAATTTTAATTTCCTAATTTGCCATGATTCCATTTCAGAAATGGTAACATTGAGCAACTACAATTAATTCAGCACCCAGTTCTCTTTGACAGGTAATTTTTATTTAAAAAAAAATTGGGTTTGGACTGTGCCTTTTCTCATTCCTGAAATAAAGCCAAGAATCTCTCTTTGGCGCTTTATCCGTGTGTATACAGTCGGAGATATTGGTCCGTCATCCCGAATTCATATGTCCTGATTTGTTTCGTTACGGCTTTGGAATGGAAATACTCATTGCAGTCCTGCATCTGTGTAGGGGGACATTTTCATTCTAGCATTGGTCTGTTTTCTCTAGTGTCATGGATTTCATATGACTGAACACACACCTATTGTTTTATGATCTCCTTTATTTGAAACATAGTAATGAGCCCCTGGAGAAAGGGGCTAACGGGAGGAGGGGTCTCTCCCCAGACCCTTCCTTGCTTGGACAAAGCTGGCACCACCAGTCACCAGGGCTGCGCGCACACTTGAACATGTGCTTTATCTTTAGAAAGCAGTAAGGAAAGAAGGCAGAGAAGTGGTGTCGGCGTGCTGGGGTTTTGAGTTTTGTGTTTGGCGACGTGCTGATGCAGCACCTGCCATAGATGCCTTCTCTGTGGCTTTAGAACTGTCCCCGAGCCTGCTCGTCCTACCGCCGGTCTCACTGCCGGCGCTGATAAACTAGTGCCGAACTTGACATGGAGCTGAGAGAACCGAAGCCAAAGATCCTGCCAGGACCTCATTGTCTGGGAAAGAGAAGGCCCCCCGGGGGCGCTCGCCCACTCCCCACCCCGAAGCCCGCCTGACGCGCTCCCGCAACCCTGCCTGTCTGGTGCTGCTTCACCTCCTGGAAGTCAGCAGGCTTCTTTCTCTCTCTCCCTCAACTCCCTCCTTCGGGTGGACGCACATCCACGTCCACCCAGGACAGGCTGATGCGAACAGGCTCAGCGCGGGATAACCGAGGGCACCCACGAGCCCGCCAGAAAGCAGCGGCACGAGTCCTTGGGAAGCGGGGCCCGCACCCTGTGAGCCACTTTGGCACCAAAGCCGGAGGCCAGAAAGCTCCTGAGCCTGCTCTGCCTTGGCACGGAGGACCCGGGGCTCCGGGCAGCTCCTGCAGAGGGCAGAGGGACTGAGCCGCCCGCAGGGCACCGGGGCGAGGAGCGGCGCCAGGGCCAGCCTCACACACAGCCTTGTTCCCCGGGCGCCATAGTGAAAACGTAGCTTTTCCTTCCTACTCGGCCCTAATTAAATCACCTGTGCTCTGTACTAAATCCTCCTGTGGCCTGGGACCCCCACAATTTCAAATTACTCAGTGTCCCTCTGCAGGGAGACGGGCCACCGACCGCACGCACCCCACTGCCCGCCGAGGCTGGCCTGGGAGCCACAGGCTTGAGCCCGGGAAGCCAGCACTGGGGCGGGGGCAGCAGGAAGTGGCCGGCTGCGTTCCCATTGGGCAGATCTTGGAAGAAATCAGGAAAAAATAACTGTATAAGGCCGATACTCTAAACATCCTGCTGCAGCGACAGCCTTGTGAGGATTTATTTTCAAACATCTGACCCCAGGCGTGGCTGCAGCCCGAAGGGACAGAGCCAGACGAGCCTTTCTGCAGGCAACTCTGAATCAAGTGCTCTCCAGCCGTGCACGTGGTCCCGGTCTCCTTGGGATAATCTGAGCGCACTTTTAACAGTGTTATTTATTTTGGGTAAATATGATGGTAAGCAGGCAAAGCCCAAAGCCACTCCAACCAAAGAACACGCAGGAGAATTACCTGAGCGCTGCTATTTTTCTCTGAATAAAGCAGGATTTGGTTTTTGAATGCGCAACCAAATTACATGCAAATCTCTGCCAAGTACAGGGGGGAACTAAAAAAAAAGTGTGTTCTTGAGTACCGCTCTGACTCACCCAATTTTTTGTTTTATCAAATAAAAATTGAGAGGGGTGGGGGAAGGCATTAAATTAACTCATTATTGTGTGAAAGCCAGAAAAAAAAATCAGCTGATCAAAAGGTTAGCAAGCCAGTATGATTATACAATGATTTCAGGTGGAAATTACAAAGCTAATATCCTGGCATTTAGTCACTGCGTTCGGTAATGATATAGTTGTCAAATTTGTATTTGTGCCAATGGAACAAAAGTTGGAAGTGGCATAATGGAAGATAATCTCTTTTTCTTTGTGGCTTTTTAAATTCAATGTTTTAATCCACCCATTTAATCACAAAATATATATCACATTGGTTGTAATATTTATGGTGTTTAGGAAAGTGATTATAAATAGATTACAGTGTGGTTGTTGGATGCAGTCTTTTCTTCTGTTTTGTGTGTGTGTGTGTGTGTGTGCATGAATGTATCCTCAAAGCATGCAGCGTTTCTAGAACTTGCACTTGAGAGCAGGTTTCCGTGAGCACAGTGGCCGTAGATTTTTGTTCAGAGTCCCCGTTTGGCCGTTACGGGCTTGCTCATTATTTTGGAAAAACAAGACTCGGTATTAAAAGGACCTGGGGCTTAGGATGATTCCGTCTCTGCCATGAGCCCATCCGTGAGACCTCTGTTCTTTGGGACTCCCTAAACTTGCTAAACCACAGACGCTCTCGAAAACATCTACAGGAGCTGGACGCCGTGGCCAGCACCGGCTGAGGGGGCAGTTTGCCAAGGAGGTAGTGCCCGAGACCTGCCTTGGTGTGGCCAGGGGGACTCTGGTCATGCGAGGGGACAGCTCAGCTCGGACCCCCCCTGGGGGGGGGGCATGTGCTTGTGGCCCATGCTCCCAGACGGGGCCGGGATTCACAAAGGCTACAGCGGGCAGGGCAGGGCGTCTCCCTCGTCACCTCCCGGCTCCTCGGCTCCTGCAGCAGAGAAAGCCAAGTGCTTTTCTACAGAGGCGGGCGCAGGGGCTCCCCGCTGGGGCCCACAGCCCTTGATGAGACCTGGAGGTCACCCCAGACCGCCCCCAGGAGAAGAGGGAAACCTACGGGTTGTGAAATCAAGCCTGCCCGGCCGGCTCTGCCCAGGGCCAGCCGCCGGGGAAAGTGAAAGTTGGCCAGGACTCGGGAAACCATGAACTGGAAGACATTTCTACTCCATCGCCTAAAACCGAGCTTTTTGATAGAAAAAGAGAAGGGAGAAAGGAAGGAAGGCAGGGAGGGAGGAAGAGAAGAAAGCTATCCTAGAAAAAGAGGCTCCAGTAAGACTTCACAGCTTCCCATAGGAACGGAAGGTTTTGAAACAGCCCCTGGATTTTCCCCTCCCTCCCCGCAGACTGAGTGTCTGTGGGGCGTCGGCAGTGATGTGTGTGCGGGGTGTCAGGCACAGTCCAAGGTCAAGGGCATGGTGGCCCAGGAGCCTCAGAGGGCTGGGCAGTGGGCTGCCGAGGCCCTGGCAGAGCTGCCCGGTCCCTCTCCTGGGCAGTCTCGGGTGGTGTGGAACCCAGTTCCTGGGAAGCAGTGCCCACGAGGAACTTTTGAATTTACCAATGGCATAAAAAGTATATATATTTTTATGACAACGGGCAAGTTCGGATTGGTTGACAGAAATGGCGAGATGTGACGTCAAGGGACACTGGTTAGAATGCCAAACCCCGCGGGAGGGGGGCAGAGTGGCGGTGGATGGGGCCCGGGGCCTGCTTCTCCCGGGTTCTGGCCCCTAGTGGGCTACGGCAGGGGGTCAGGGGCAGCCAGGTCCACGTGGCTGTGAGCCAGCGCGTGGCCCGGGCTGCAGGAGGGGTCCGTGCCCACTGGCCCCGAGTCTGCGGCCGTTCTGGAGCGTGAGGCCCGGGCTGGTTCCCCTGCCGCTTGGAGACCTCCGGGGGGGCCCTGCGGAGCCGGCGGGGGAAGCCGCCGAGGCCTCCCTGGCATTCTAGCCCGTGTCCAGATCCTGGAGCCCTGCCGTTGCCCAAGAGGCCAGAGGAGGCTCCGTGTGGCCCGGGGGCCAGCAATGTCGCCGTGCCGCTCCGGCAGAGCAACGCTGCGGCCTTGCACTTCCCCCCTCAGCCCCTGCGCCCCGCTTCGGGGAGGCAGGAAGCCGCTTCCACGGGGAAAAAGGAGCCCGGGCACCATGCCCCTGCCCACCCCGCGCCTCCCCGGGCACCGCGGGCGCCCCCTCAACTCCGCCAGCACCTTGCGCGCACCCCTTACGTCTCCTGGCACTGCGAGCCGCCCTCCGGCCCTCCAGGGCTCGCGCGCCCGACCCCGCCCCCCGCCGCACTGGGCACCGCGCCCCTCGCTCCACCGGGCCCGCGGTGTCCGGGAAGCCGCCCCTGGGCCGCCCGTGCGCGCTCCCGGCCTTGGCGGGGAGAGCCCACTGCCACCGTCTGCCCGGAGCGCTGTCCCGGGCCTCGGCTGCAGCTCCGCGGCGCACACCGGCCCCCCTTGGAGATGAGCCCGTGACCCAGGCGGGCCCTCCGCAGCGTGTACGGGGCTACGGGCAAAAGGCTGCGAGCAGGCCGGGGGCTGTCGTGCGGCCTCGGGTCCCCGAGCCCGGCCCGAACGCGCGCGCGCGTCCCGCTGCCCGCAATCATGGCAGCCAGCGCCTTGGAGCGCAGTCGCCGAGCGCGCCCCGGTGCCAGGGCGGCGGGGGCGGGCCGGGCCAGGGGCTCCCGCCTGCCCGCCGCCTCCCTCGGTCGCGCGGGGCCCGGGGGCGCGGAGCGCAAGGCCAGTGGGTCCCGCGACGGAGTGCCCCTGCCCCGCGAGGGCGGGCGGGGCCGCGGGGCGGGTGCGCGCGGGCGGCGAGCGCCCGGGGCGGCGAGCCCGCGGGGACGCGCACGCGGGGCTGCGGGGCGAGGCGCGGGGCCCGGGCGGCGAATCCGCTGCTCGCGCCGCCCGCCCAGCCCGAGCGCGCCGGCCCCGGGCGGGGGGTGCGGAGGGGGAGCCCGGGAGGGGCGGCGCCCGGTCCTCACCCGCAGCGGGCACGGCTTCTTTGGTATTCCGGGCGCGTCGGCAGCCCTGACCTCCCCGCGGAACGGGAGTGCCCGGGCGCGCGGGCACGGCCGCCGCCCCCGGGCGGTCTCCCCGGGGCTGCGGGGCCCGGCGGAGCCTGGCTTCCTCGGTCCCCTCCTCCCCGAGTCCCGCGTACCCCCTCCCCCGCCCCGATCCGGCGGCGAAGGGGTGGGCAGGGAAACGCGCTCTCTGGGACAGGTGCCAACTCCGAGACAAAAGACATAAAATAGGCGGCAACGGGGGAAGCGCGGCCGGCGCGCTCGGGCGGGGACGGCGGCGCCGCGGGGGCCGCATCCTCGGTGCCGACCCGGGAAAGTTTGGGAAGTCGCCGCGGCGGCTTCGCGGCGGCGGGGGACGCACGGCCCCGGGCCGCCCTGGGCGCAGCGCTCGCCCTCTCCGCGCCGCTGCTGAATAATTCATGGCGCGGCCGCCGGCCATTAGCATGCACCGGGCGCGCGGCGCGTCTGTGCCAAGCCGCCGCCGCATTCGGCGCCCGGGCAGCGCCAGACGAGCGGCCGCGCGGGTCGGCCGGGCCCTCGCCGTCCCCCTCGCCCGCCCGGCGGCGCCCATTGTGCCCCGGGCCCGCGCGGCCAGCCGTCCCCGCGCCCGCCCGACGGCCCGGCTCTGCGAGTTGGGGCCCGCGGCGCCCGCCGCGAGATGCACGTGAACTTGGAGAAAGTCGCGGGGCGCGCCGGCCGGGCCCTCCGCAGCAGGGCGTGGGCGCCCCCGGGCCGGCGCGCTTTCGTTTTCGTCCGGGACAAAGGTCCCCGGCGGCGCCGGTGGCGGACGCGGTGGCCGGGTCCTGGGGACCACTCCTGGGCGCGGCGGGGCCGCTCGTACGGGGAAGCGGAGCCCGGAGGAGAGAAGCGGCTCGCGGCGCGGCGCGGGGGCCGCGGGGCCTGGGCCGGCCCGGAGCGTCGCGCCCTGCGAAGAGTTGCAGGAGCTCGCGCGGCCGTGGACACGGGCCGGAGGGCGCACCGAGGGCCGGGGCCCCGCGCGCAGCGCCGACCGCGGCCGGGCGCGCTGCTCCAGCAACGGCAGCTGCGGACCCGCGCGACGGCGTTCGGGGCGACCCGGCAGGGCGGTAAGTGCGTTTCTTACTTTGGCTACTCAGCGAGTGTTCCGGCGGCGGCGAGGGGACCCCCGAAGTGCTCGCTCTGGAACCCCGAGCCGCGCCGGCCTGCGGGAGCGCCCCGGCGGGCCCGAACGTGGAACTCGGGATCTGCGAAATGTTCGCTGAGCCGCGGGTCCCAGGTGGGCAGGCTGTGCCCGGGGTGGGGTGTGGGGGCTCGGCGAGCGCGAGCGGTGGAACCAGCTCCAGGGGCGTCTTCAACAATGGGTCAGCCGCCCCAGGAGCAGCAGCAGCAAGCATGTTTCTGAGGTGGGCGCCTTTGGAAGGGGCCGTGGGAAGCCGCCACCGTTCGTGAAAAATTCAGCCCTTGCTGCTTTTTTTCCCTTTCCCTATGCTGGCTGGGGGTTTTCACAGAGCCACGTTTCGGGCAATGCTGGGCACCCCTGGGCGCAGCGGCGCTGCTGCCGGCAGGCCCTCGCGTGGCAGCCCTTGTCTCTGGTGGCGTCCATCGGAGAGCAACTCCTAACTTTTTGTCACCGGCGCTCCTTCGTAGGTGGCTCACATACAGGTCCCGCCAGCGGCCCTGCAGATTCTGGGGCTGCCGGAGGGGTGGAGGAGTGCGTTCGCCCGCGTTACAGGGTTTGAAGGTAACTCTTTGGAGCTGGGGCTCCAGACGCCCTGGGCACGGCGTCGTCTTATTTCAGTTCTTCGGTTCCCCCTAAGTGAGGCTTGCAGATGTGGGTGGGTTTGTAGGTGCATGTCCCTGCGTTCGGTTAAAATGAAACCCTCCACCGTGCTGTTGAAGGCGTTGGTGCCACAGGTGCGGGTAGCCTGTGCCTCTACTTAGGGACAGCCCCGCTGCCCGTGCTCGCCACAAAATAGTGGGGCGAGGGGCCGTTTCCGTAACAGCCGGCATCGTGAGCTGGCACTCGGGGCCTCGTTTCCCCGGGATGCGCACGAGGCCTGGGCCTCCCGGTCCCCTCTCCTTGGCTGCCCAGCCCCCGTCCCCTCGCCAGTTCTAGGGACCCAGAGACCCAGGAGACCGCTCCGGTAGGGTTCGGCTCTGGTGCTGCCGAGTTCGCCTTGGCTGTCGGCTCTGCCGACAGGCGTGAATCCTGGGGTGGGACGTTGCGAGGTGAGCGCGGAATCGGGGTGCAGCTGTGGAAGGCGTGCCGCTGCAGCCGGGAGCTGCCGCCTGGCGTGGCGTTGGCAGGAGCGAGGTTAGTCTGTGGCGCCGAGCTCCAGCGGGGCCTCGCCTGCTGAATGCCGGAGATGCCTCCCCTGGCGGACACAGCGCTGCACGGGCACAACGGTGTGGGGTCCTGCCAGGGCTGTCTGGTGTCTTCCTGAACTAAAACAGACCCCAAAACCAGGGGCACCGTCTCTCTTTCTCCCCAGGCCCACGGGTTAGGCTGGGGCACGAGCAGGAAAGATGGAGCATCCCCAGAGGCAGCCCCGGGGCCACCGGCGAGGTCGTCATGAGCTCCCAGGGTCCCCCCTGCTGCAACAAAGGGTGCGAGGGCCCGGCCTGAGGACCTGGGCCCTGTCCTGTCTTTGTCCCTGTCCTTTTGAGCCGGCTCGGTGCACACAGAGACTCGGGGTCCCACTGGAGACGACTTGCCGCGTTGGGACATCCCAGGCCAGCACTGTTTGCTCTTGAAGACACAAAGGAGGCGGCTGTGAAAGTGAAAGTGTTGCCTGTCCGTTTCTGGTCACTGCTGGATTGAATGGAAGGAAGGTGGTAAGCGGGGAGCCGGGGCGAGGGGACCGTGGGGTGGGCTGGCGGCAGGAGCCCCGTTGTTCTGTCTTGGTTTTTGTTTTAAGCCATGGCCTTGCTGAGACCCTCCTGGGTCTGGTGCTGGTGGGGGCCAGGGGTGGAGTCTGTGGTGATGAGCCCTGTCCCCTCTGCCATAGCTGGGCCTGGTGTCTCCTGAACAGGTGCCGGCTGGCAGTTGGCATTGCCGGGCAGGACCGGCAGAGGCCCAGGACCCTCCGTCCCTGCGGCCTGCCCCTGGCCGGGAAGCCTGGCTGTCCACCCTACCTCTCTCGCTCCAGCTCCCAGCCCAGCATGGACGGGGCCCCGGCAGGACGGGGAGGACTTTGCCTCTAGTGCAGGACAGGCTTTGGGAAGCCACACGGGAGACATCGGAGCACCAGCGTGCTCTGTCTGTGCTGCCCAGGCTGGGTGCTGAGGGTGCATTGGCGTGTTTGGGGAGAAGGGGGCTTAGTCTTGCTGAAGTCTCAGCGGGCAGGCCCGTGGAGCTGGAGCCCCCCAGGGCTGCCCACGTGACCCTGGGGCAGCTCCCGTGTCCTCTCCCAGCTCTGAAGAGGGACTGAGAATGGCAGTCAGGGAACGTTCCTTGTGGCTGATGGTCACAGGCCCCGCGGCTGTTGCCGTGGGCCGCTGTTTGTGGTGTCCCCTTGTGTCACGCTATAGTCCAGGTAACACAGAGGCAGTGTTGCTTTTCACAGAGAGCACCAGGACACTTGCCTCTGCCCCACAGGTGGTAGGGTGGTGTTTGCCAGGGAGCTTGCAAAGCCAGCGTGTGCCTTGTCCTGGGGACCTGGCGCAAGCGTCCCCAAGTGGATGTACCTTCTGGCTACAGGAGATGAGCCCGCAGTCCCCTGGGAGGCTCCCCTCCCTGGGTCAGCCCCTGAGGTGTGCACCTGCGCGCTGGCCCAGCGGCTGACCGCTGCTTTCCACAGGCCCAGAGCGGCCACGCTTCCTCACAGCGTCTTGCTGCAATGAGACAGAAGCCCACGGCAGTGGCCACGCTCTCTGGCGCTGCAGAGCCGGGGGGGGGGGGCACGGCGGCGCAGCGGCCATGGGTCTTTTGTGTGAAATATTTGTTTCCAGGGCTGACCGGCGTCCGGTCGGCCAGGCCGGTCAGTGCAGCCTCAAGGACGTGGTTGCCACGGGCCGTGAACTGAGAGCCGGGACAGAGATTTACAGAAGAGGAGAAAAGAGTCCCTGACCCGTGCATGGCTCCAGGGAACTGTGGTAGGACCGCCGGCTCTCCCTGTTGAGCGGAGTTTAAACTTTCACAAGTTTGTTCTGCAGTTTCTTTCCCGAGGCTGGCAGAGGCGCGGTGACCAATCCTGGAAAGGTAGCCAGGTTCCGGGCCCGGCCTGGTGGGCCTTTGTCTGCCACTGGGTCGCGATGGGAGTGAGGATATGGGGACTGCGGGAGGGAGGCCCTGGGAGGAGACAGTTGGGCCTGTGTTTGTGGTTTTCCAGTCTTGTCTGCCCCCGAAGTCCTGTTCTCAGATGAACTTGGCGGTGGCCTGTGGCTTATGGGAGGCTCTGACCTGACTTGGCCAAACCACACCGGGGCCCACGAGCACCCTGCCCCGCTGCAGGGGGGTCTCAGGGACCTGGGACAAACCCGCTGCGGAGTTAGCGCCTGGTGAGCATTTTCTGAGTGATTAGACTAGGCTGCATTTTGGCCCGAGGCCTCCACACCGGCCGTACCGCCTGGTCCCTGCTCTGCCGCAGCGATGGTGCCAGAGCAGCCCGGCCCGCCTGCCTGTGTCGCGGGAAGATTCCCGGGAGGGCCGGGTGGTCCCCGTCGGGGGAGAGAAGAGGGTCCCTCTCTAACATGCCTGCTCAGCACCCACAAGGCTTTGTTGACTGTGATTTCAAAACTGAGGTTTCATTTTTTTCAAAACTGCTGTCACATCTTCTAATGCCGGAAGCTCTTAGGTGTGGCCCGTTTTGTCTTTTCCATGACCTGCCCCCCGGGACGCTGCCAAGGGAGCCCCCCTTTTGGGCGTGTGTGGACAGCATCTGAGGCCCTGGCTGGGTGTGGAACTAACGGGACCTTGGCAAAGGCCACAGTGGCGCGGGGTGGCCATCCTCTGGCACACAGGTTCTGTTCCCTGTGTCACCTGGTGTTGGTGCTGTCTCTGTCCAGTTCTGCAAGGGACGCTTCTGGCTGGAGTCGGGTCTTCCCCAGGCAGCTTGGGACTCGGTGTGGGCAGGGGTCTGGGGTATGCGGCTCGACCCATGCCAGTGGGGAGGAGACCCGCAAAGGCCACAGTGGTGTCGTAAACACGGGTGGTTGTGCTTCTAAAGTGTGTGTGTGTGGTGCAAAGTAAAACGGCCAAGGACTTTCTTTTTTTAAGCATCAGGAGAATGTCCGTCAAGGTTAGAGCACAGTGCCTTCCCAGGTGCCTCTGCTCGTGGCTGCAGGGCTGGGTTGCGCTGGGAGCTGCGTTCCCTAATTCTGGGGTCTCAGGTGGTAGAAAGAGCGTGCGGCTGGATTGTTTACCTGCTGATTTGTGCCTCTTAAGTTTAGCATCCCCTTCCGTGTGTTGGAGGGAGATATTTACATTCGAATCAGCCTCTTGTAATTACATTTTAAATTATAATAAAATGGCGGTGGTGCCGCTCCACGTTCCGTATGTTTAGCAGATCGCCTGTGGGTCGCCCACCCCCAGACCTGCCCGTGGGGTGGAGGGACACGCGAGAGGCCTGGCGTGCGGGGTCCTCCCTGGCCCACTCTTGCTGGGGGGTGCTGTCCGGCTGACATGCTGGGGTCCTGAGCCCCGTGGGGTGGGGGCTGTCGTGTCTCTAATGGCCAGCTGGGCCCAGCGGTGGCCACTGGCTGGTCGCAGCCTCCCCCCAGGTTGAGGCAGGCCCCAAGATGGCCACCTGGTTTCAGGCAGTCTCCCCCATGTGGCTGGCGGACAGCGGGCAGGGCAGGCCCCGCTCCTCCGGGGCCAGGTTCTTGGCAGCCGTGCCCAGCCGTTGCTGGTGTGGAATTCCCGGCATTCCTGGTCGGGCGCATGGCATTGGAATCTTACCTGCTTTGTCTCTGGCATCAGCTGGCAAGCGGTCACGTGGCCGTGTGCGTGAGACCAGAGCCGGGGACCAGAGGCCTCCTGGGCTGCTTCCTCCTCGCTCACTCTACCCCCCCACTCCCACCCCGCCCCTGCTCCGGCATGGCAATCTCCGAGCAGGCGCGAAGCAGCCTTAAATAAAAGCGAATCCGGGCAGCCCGGGAGCTGCCT